GGAAAATATACTCATTATTTATATATTGTTTTGTACACCCATTTCGGCTAATGATTAAGATGAAATCATATATATGAAAAACAATGAGAGTTCTAAAACATCACATTCTACATGTCATGCTGAGCATAGTCCATGTTAATTTAATACAAGAATATCATATGTTATACAGAATAAGATATCATACGGGAAAATAAAACAAATACTACACAGATTAATTATCACATTCAATTAAAAACAGAAGTAATGTTGAACAAAAGTCACAATGAGTAAAATGTCTTAAAATATTAACAGATGAACATATCTCAGAAGAGACCAATTAGTTCTAGTTCTTAGCATCATTAATAAGTAAGTAAAAATCCCCTGACACTTCTAGATATTTTGAAATAAAGACTTAATGTACGGATGGTAGTTATTTAAAGATCTTCGAATTCTGATGATATTTACAAATGTGATTAGTATTTCCGACGTTAGAGTTGAGATAAGAACACTACAACTATATCAGTTAATAACAAATATTAGATTTTTTTTTTAAATGTCCAGATGATATTTTAGAATATTTATTTAGTTTCTTGTAATCGTCAAGGAACTGGTACCTGGAACAGAAAAAAAACACTGAGATTTTACAATGCAAAAGGAAGAGGAAGTATTGTGTTACATAAAAACTATACTGAGCTAAAATACGATCTCTAGTTTTAATCCCATTATGACACATCTCTAAAATTGACAATGGAATATTTGAACTATGTCAGTTTATGATGAATAAGAAGTTTATGAGAGCAATTCACATGATAAATAATTACATTAATCTAGTTTATCATTGATTCATTTCTAAACTTTGTAAGTCTTTCAGTGCTTCTGTGATGCATCCGAGTGTAACAACTTGAAGTGGTAAAATTCTAAAATATGTATGTTACCTTAACTCCTTTGTATTTGTTAGTTGAATCTTCCCATTGATGTTTAAAACTGTAGTTGACTGATCTCTTTTGAGTCCCAGAGTGAAAATCAACTCTAAGTTTCAGGTACAGTGTGGTGTTTGTATGAACTAATGATTCTTTTGTACTTGATGACTGCTTGGTTTTGAATTCTAAATACAATACGTCTGTTTGTACTCACCTAGTTCTACGTGCCATAAACTGCACTATTTCTTGGATTCCAAGTTCGTACAATAATTCAAATACTTCTAATCATCACATAAATCCGGTTAACGAGTCCCAAATAAGATGAGACATGCATTCTGGGTTCCACTACTAGTCACCATTCATTTCTGCTTATAATATATTATACTTTGTTTTGCTTGTGTTTAACAACTGGAGGTTTTCATCCTTCACTGAATTTAAGTAGGATTAATTAACTTGAAAGTGTTTAGAGTTAACACAATAATAAAATTAACTTTGATATAAAGTTTTGTTGTGTGTCGGTCTGACTTTAAGTGTAATTATAGCACAAATTACTTCTTAAAATTTAATTGTGTTATTAGTTGTGTTAACTCTAAATACTTTCAAGTTAATTAATCCTACTTAAATTCAGTGAAGGATGAAAACCTCCAGTTGTTAAACACAAGCAAAACAAAGTATAATATATTATAAGCAGAAATGAATGGTGACTAGTAGTGGAACCCAGAATGCATGTCTCATCTTATTTGGGACTCGTTAACCGGATTTATGTGATGATTAGAAGTATTTGAATTATTGTACGAACTAAGAATCCAAGAAATAGTGCAGTTTATGGCACGTAGAACTAGGTGAGTACAAACAGATGTATTGTATTTAGAATTCAAAACCAAGCAGTCATCAAGTACAAAAGAATCATTAGTTCATACAAACACCACACTGTACCTGAAACTTAGAGTTGATTTTCACTCTGGGACTCAAAAGAGATCAGTCAACTACAGTTCTAAACATCAATGGGAAGATTCAACTAACAAATACAGAGGAGTTAAAGTGCTATGTTTGACGCGATTACAAGTTCACCTAGTCGGAGAATGGAACAAAGACTCTGTGATAAAAGATCAATAAGCTAGCTATTTTGACGCGTCCCAGCCCCGCTAGCTAGAGAGAGGTCCAAGTTCGAAACGGGGAAATATATTCCGCAAGCAGCCAGAAGCACGAGCAATAACAGCAAGCACAAAGCAACGTATATATGCAGCATAAAATTTTCCTTGGGAAGAGTTACAAAATAACATACTAAAATATACAACGAACCAATAGCGTTTAAAATCCTTCCAAGTAGGAAATACGACATGAAGGTGAAAATGAGCGCTTTTGGCTCGAAAACAAGAAATTAAAATTTTTAAAGTAAAATTACAGAAATAAGGTTGTATCTCTTCATTTCTGCAGCAATTTGGAAGACTCTCCCGGTCTCCCACATTGTACGAGCATTCCATGTACCAAAATTATTGGTTGCTCTTGTTGTCAGAAAGGGCATCAGCCTTGTGACTTCGGAAAGAACTCGGCTTTCATCGTGAGACGTCGTAACTCTTTCAAATGGAAACCTTCTAACTTTCAGGGTAGAGTTTAGATGGTTTGAACTGATTTTTCTGGTTAGCGTTTTTTTAGTGTGTTAGTTTTCTACGGGATGGGGACGCTAACCCCATACCCAACCCTCCTTCTTTATCCGGGCGTGGGACCGGCAGTAGCCCTAGAGGAGCTCCAGGTGACCGAATATTTCCAGTTAGCTTTCAGTATCACTGAACCGGTTCTATGTGCCCAATCATATTAGTATAGTAGGTTGCATTATCACGATAAACCCCAAATTAGTAGAATTAATAACATTACCAACAGTAATAGAAAACATAGTTTGAAAATGCAGGATCAATGAAATCTGAGACAATTGACTGATATTTGAAAAGGAGACAATTGATTGATATTTTACAAATGAAGTATTTACTGTATGGTTCTCAGATTTTACTAAGATGTTCTGTAATTTTGTATTAAAATACATTCGATTGTCCCCACTTATGTTCTTGTTCACTACAATACTATTATATAGGCTAAATGAGAGTAAAGATGACGGCCATCGTTCTGTGTGAACATGATTGTTTACCTATTCAAAATCTGTAATAGTAAACGTTCGATTTTTTGTTTTATCCGGTAGTTTATGGAGAATCGTTTAATTTGAAGACAGCTGTTGTACACTTATCTAGAACGTTTCGGCATTGCCACTCAAGACTTAGTGCTAAGTTAAATTGATTACCTGCACGTCTTGTAATAGACAAAATACCTTTAGAATAGTGAGGTGGTAAGAAGTAGTCAACATTTTTAAGCTATAATAAATTTGATATGGTGCGATTTTTATTCAATGTTATCAAATGTTTCTTGATTGATTCCCGATTTGTTGGAACATGTATTGCGTATACCCGACTACTGCCTACCTAAACGTATGATGTTTGTTCGTGTAGGGGTAGGACAGAAGAAACCTATAGGAGACTAAACAGAGCTGCGAAATAATTCCATACAGTCAGTGACTTGTAGATAAAGCCTTATTGATAAGTACTAACTACGTGGTTGAAGTCCTAGCAATTATCGTGGCCAATGATTGTAGATGATGGTGATGTGGCTCAAATACATTCCCCTCATTCACTCTTTCTTCTGGAATCAGATGGTTCAAGCCCAATGTTTCTACAATCACTGATGCTGTTACGACTACCACTACTCTAGCCTCTATTTTGGCAATTTCACCTTGCTGTGTTGAAATAGTGTGATAATATGAATCAATATAAATATGTACCAGGTTTTAAGTTGTTTATGATCAGGTGATTGTTATGTGAGAACTCTCTGCAAAGAATCTATCTGAAGATTAATTTTTCTGGTAAACTTATCAGTGATATTCACCAAATCACTTTTATCGGAAATCTTGTAAAATTTAAAAATACATCTCACCACCAAAAGACATTAAATGTGAAGAAGCATTATCTTGAAATGAAACAACCGTAACTACTCCAAATATTAAACAAATGAAAATATATTATTTTGAAACAAGCATTAACTGTAATATTAACACATAAAAACGTTTAATTAGATTAATTACGTTTTTAGTAAATTAATTAAATGACAATGTCTTTTTTGTTTAAAGTTCTTACACTCAGTGACTGAAGAAGAAGAAGAAGAAGAAGAAGAAGAAGAAGAAAAGGATAAATAAACATACAACAAACACTAAATCTTTAAATATTAAAGAATAAAAAAAGAACATTTTGAACAATTTTGATAGAGAAATTAGTTTTAAAAAAGAAGAAAATACAAATATGAAATATTATCTTTGCATACAGTTTTCCAATTAGACGTTTTTAACATTAACAAGAAGAATAGACTAGTAGGTGCATAAATGAATAAACGTAAAAAAAAACTTCGTACACAAATTCTAATACATCGTTCACAAGATTTATATATATATAACTTTAGTATTATAAATACTAAAAGTAAATAGGTAAATGAACCATTGTTTTGTTGTTGTTGCTACTGACACATACATGAGTACATAAAATGCATTTGCCCTGTACAAAACTTTATTGCTTACACTTTCCTTTTCAGTAATTCTACTAGTTTAAATAATTGTAAACGAATAAACATTAGTGATAGTTTACACAATAACTATTTGTTTACTAATTATGTTCTCTATAAAATGTTGATTGTATTTCTATTATAGGTTCAGTATTGTTAAGTGGTTAAATAAGAATGAGGATGGTATTTCACAAAAAAACTTATTGTAAATGAATGTTAATTAAGTTGGATGATAGATATATAACTTTTTTTATTGTCCACGTTTTTCACTGAATAAACAAAGCAAGTAAATAAATGGATATCATAAAAACATCATGAAACAATATTGTCAATATATTCAACACATTAAACACGATGTAATATTACATTCAGGGAACAGTTTGCCTTTTCACATAGACATCTACAAGTATTCCATTCATTGCAATATATATATATATATATATATATATATATATATATATATATATATATATATCTCTATATATATATATATATATATATATATATATATATATATATATATATATTGTATCAAAGATGAACAGTTTTCAGCGAAGACTTGACCTACATACCTAAGACTGTACTATTGATTTAGCCGATAATAACGTGAACATTGTTAATGACAACAAATATATGGATAATAATAGTAATGGTGATGATTTACAAAATGTCTTTTTTTCATTAAAATGGTAATAATGACTGTTATGTTAGAGGAAGTAAAACACAAAAAGACGGTAAAAGTATTTGCATATAGAAAAACAACTTTTGTCCCCAAGCTGATAATAATAGTAATGTGAAACGACTGTGTTAAATACTAATGACTACAAAAAAAGTAAAACAAAATACCTTTGTTGCATAAATAAAGATGCATGAAAGAACAACGGTATCTCAAGAGTTTATAGTGTTTTAGCTTATGTATCTAATTGTGTATAAAAGAAATATCAGCACAAAATGTTTGTTCATACCCATATTATTGATTGCTGATCGTTTAGAACAGTTTGGAAATAATCCCTCTTTAGATTAAATGACAAGTGAAATAGACAAGCAGTTTACACGGATAATTAAAAGAAGAATATAAAGGAAAAATATAGGTAGACAAAAGAAGATTAAACCATTTACGAAGAGAATGGAATATATAACAAAATAAATGGAAAGAATATATATTGCAAAAATATTTGGTATTGGGATTTATATATTCCGTTTAATTCAAAACAATACAATTCGTGAATTTCAAGAAATCACTTCAAATAAAAAAGCATCACTTAGATATTTATCCATTGAAAACTTACGAAAATTTAAAATCTCATTCAACCAGTTACTAATTTCATATTTATGAATATAATATTACAAATCAACTTGTACCAGAGAGAGTTATTTGTGGATTTTGTTCATTCATTGATTGTGTAACTGATAGAGTACCATTGAGTACAGAAACAGGATTTGTATATGACTGACTCAATAAATTCATTACCGTTGCCGATTGTGAAGTTGCATTAGTTGTCGGTTGTGATTGTGATAAAGCTGATGTTGAAATTAATGGTATTTGTAAACCAAAATTATATAAACCTGCTAGTGGTGACAAAGAGTTTAACGATTGTCCAATAGTAGAAGAAGATGAACAGTTTTGTCCTAATTCATTACTGCAATTGGTTAATGATTGTTGCAGTCCAATAATTTGTGGTATAGCATTGCTATTGACGGTACTTAATCCATTTGGTCCAACCAACATAGCTGTTGGAGCAGCGGTTGAAATGGAATTTGGATCAAAATAATAAGTAGGTTGATTGTTAAATGTTGCATTAATAAGTCCACCATTTCCTAATGTTCCATTTGAAAATAACTGTGTTGAATAATCAAACGCATTATTGATTATGGTTCCAGCAGTACATTCATTTTGTAGATTAACATTATTATTATTATTGGTTAAATTACCCGTTACATTTGCTAAACCAGTAGTATTTATAGGAAAATTTGTTGTACCAGATAATTGTAGAACATTTGTTTGAGATTGTAATAAATTCAGTGGAGTTGATGTATTTGGTAAATTGTTTGATAATGGTAATGGCATAAATGCTGCATTTGTATGCATTACACTAGGATTAATTGGCAGTGCATAACTAGCTGCAAATGCTAATTATCAAATAAATAAATAAAAGACAAAATTCAATTTAATATTTTTTTAAAGAAATGAAATTAATTGATGATTTAAAACTTCAGAAACATGAAATGTATTTGTGGAAGATAATTTTGTTCTGAAAAATTAACACTTGAAGTTTGATAAGTTGACTGTAATTGTGGTGGACTAATGGTCTTTGTTATAAATGCGGAATATAATGGATTATAAGCTATGTTACATGAATTTAAGTTCATTGCTGTCATGGTAGAGATAGTCGGATCTAAGTTGTCTGGATTCGGTTTTTTTTAAATACATGTAACGTATTTGATTCATTAGTTTCTAATATATTTTGTGACGAAAGTTTTGAAGGGAAACGCTCACTACCATTCATAATGGACAAGTTACGAGAGCAAAATATATCATTTGATTTAGGTGTTTGGTGTTGTTGTGTAAACAACATGTATAGTGGTGGCAAAACCGTATGTGTAACTGTGAGTCTACCGCTCTCACTGCTGTCAACTTTAATTCTGTGTCTTGAAGATGACCCTAAAATGATGCAATACAAGTTTGATAATGATTTAAAACTAGATTCTATAATCAAAACTGAAGATTTCCAGAAGCCTTACATTCTAAACTGAAAACAGTTTAACGAGGAAGTTTCTAATGCCACCGTTCTGTCATGAAGAACGTAGCTAATATAACATAAAAAGATTGTTGGCGTCCAAATCTACACTCCATCTTCGATTTAATCTGATAATCGGTACTGTGGCTACCACATAACATTTTTGGATAATGTATAACTGAAGGTTTTTATTATTAATAACATTAGGATTAAAAGCCTAGCTTATCCCATCATTGAATGACTGTGACACCAATTAGTTTTATGAATATAAGCATGCTACTCACAAGTAGTCTGGAATTCCATCAAAGTATTCTGCAAACGCTCTAATTTTATGACCTTTAGAGTATCGAAGCCGAATAAGTGATTATTTTATCAACGAGAACTAGAAGATGAAATAGAGAGGGGAACTATATAGAAATAAATTTAGAGGTTGTCAGAAGGTGGAAAGAATACTGCAATCAAGTCATTTCATACATTTCGGCTACGATTATTGTTTTCCTTTGATGAAATATGAAATGATTAAGAATCATATGGTAAAACACTGTTGTATAAATGAGTTTCATGGTAACGAGCAATTTAAACTAGTGTGTAAAGGTGAAATATTTAAAAGAAATTAAAGCGCGAAACCAAAACCTTAACTGTTTTCAGAAATGTAGTTGATGAACTTAACAAAACTTAGGTGAAATAAGTTATTTCATGTTGTGCTAAAACTATCTATTTATTTGAAAATACATATAAAGATAAGAAATGCGTGTTATAACGATAACACAAAAAATAACCCTGTAATATATTATAACACTATATTACAGATACATAATATGTTTCTATAATCTGGAGGGAGCTGGTACTTTGAGAAATTCAGTTTTAAGTCACTTAGCATCGTAATCAGAGATAACAACATTAAGATTTTCAACCAGTAACTAAGCTTTTGTTGAACTGATATTCGTCCATTTATGGATAATAGAATTTAACAATCAATTTTCTTAATGATCTATTTCATTCGTAAGTGTTATAAACATTTAGAAATATTGATTCCAGGAGTTTAGAGGTGATCTATGGGAAACCCTAGACCTAGGTTACTTGCTGTTAGATACTTATGAGCAAGAACTGCTTATGATCTTGATGAAATTAGTGTTTACACTAATGAAATATTTCCGCTAGATGACTTGTAACTATCACACAACCTACTCGTTTTTTTTTGAATGATCAGATTATTTTTCTAATTTATGCGACTTGTAAGCGATCATTGAAGTTAACTGTTATAATGTTAACATAATTTACATTTTATGTGTCATGATTCTTAAGTATAGAATTTCACTTATTATCTAAGTGTATTGATGGATTATATCGAGTTACCTGAAAATATTTGAATTTAGTTCTGTTTAGAATTATTGAATAAATGCTGTATGTTTGAATAGAAAAAGAAACTTTCCGTGAAGCAATGTCAGTTGGATGAAACATTGGGAAAAGTATAGTATACTAAGTTGCTATACAATACTGATGGAACTCAGTATGGTGAATAGTTACGTATATTGGTCTTCAATCATTTTGTTATTGACCACGCTTCGGATAATAGATGCGTATCAAGAGACAGCTCTCTGAGATGAATGGCTTACTAGGCATTAACTATTGATGTTAACGAACTTAACCAACTGAAAGAGTCTGATCATTTATCCTTACTGTTTTGCGGCACTCTAAATCTCATAGGTTTCTTCTATTTTCTGCATAATCAGTTTCATGGTTTCGAATTCATCTACCTTTGTCTATGAACACTTTCTTCTGAGTCCTCAAGCTTAAACCCATTTTTAAAAAGTTTACATTTTATACAATTAATCAAAGTATAAAATAATGCTGGATCATACTTGATCAATGTTCAGTGAAACAGCTTCATTTTGTTTTAGATTAAAGTCGAAGTTTATTGACGTAAACAAAAATGTATTTTCTTTAAAGATCTAATGCATATGCCTATAATTTTGTATTACAAAATATTACAGAATAATGAGTTCTTATAAATTTGTAATATTTTTTTTCATGATGAACTTTACTTGTTCACATTCAGTAGTACTTTAATTGAACAATTATGTTAACTGATGATAAAAACCAAACATAAGATCTGGTCATATTTACGATGATGTCAGTTAATACTCCATGAAATTTATTGAATTGATGAAAAAAGTTTATTCTCTAAATTTAAACATATATCGTTATCGTCATCATCATCATCATCATCATCATCATCATCATCATCATCATCATCATCATCATCATCATCATCATCATCATCATCATCATCATCATCATCATCACTCTAGAATTAATTATTGAATAATTCATCCAAACAAATATGATGTTGTATGCCAAGACGTCATACTTGTTAGCACTAATTAAACTAGAATTGCTTCTACATTAGGAAAGATTCATACTAAGTTTATTAACTAAAATGAAATATATATCCTACTAAATGGTTGATTTATTAGTGTATAAGATAAGTGGATAATCATATTGTAGTGTATGCTACGTATGTTGATAGATATAAGTTGTATGAAGCACCGATCGGAAGTGAAATGCTTGGCAGAAGAAGGTTGAAAAGATCAACAGGAATATGCAGAAAGTAAGTTTAATAATGACTATAATGAAGCAGTGATGAAGTTTGTATGAAACAATTGATGGAATATGTGTAAATGAAGTATTTAATGTATATTTTTTATATTTTGTGAAGACATTTTGTAATTTTGCACTACACAATAAATTGGTTCACCTTACCAAGTCTTCGTTCACTGCAATGTCAGTTTGCTGTTTCAACGAATATTTTCTATATCACTAGATATTTAACAGTTTGAAAGAAGAGACTGATCAAACGATTAGATGAAGTAGGCTATTCTGTATAAAAAAGTATTACTTAGAAAAAAACCACTACTCATTTCCTTTCAATTGACTTCGATTATGTAACGTAAGAACAGTGTTTATTACACTTTTAAAATGATTTGGAAATCATAGTTCACTACGAATTGAAAGAAACTAGGTTCAAATTCAGATACTAATGTATGGTAGTGTATTTATCAAAACGATTTTAAAATGGTATATATATATTAGTTGTTGTGACAATATCTTCGAGTAGAGACATGTTAAGCTTTGTAAAATCTGTATTATGTGTAGATTGCTTGACTATTTTAGTGATTAATTTCAATTTACGAAAAAAATGATAAAGATTTACTTGAAAAAGAAATATAAAGTCAAGCATTCTGTTATTAATACTGTTTACCTTCATTCAAGTTAAAAGGATTAAATGGAAGACTTTGAATAGCTATTTCAGAAGCACCCAGTTTAGCCTCAGTAGATGTTAAATAATACCGACTTGTGTTGCATCGAAATTGCAGTTTTGGAATATAAACCTGATACAATGAAAAGATACCAAATATACATTAAAGTTTAGTTTATTAACAAGAAAACACATACACTAATCAAAATAATGTTATTCAAGTGTTCTTCGTGTGTTTAAATTCCTCATTTTGCTTAAACAAAATTAGTATTTAAAAGATCCACTGACGATACTGTAAGATAATAATAGAATTGTAGAGGAGTTAAAAATGGACTAGTAATATTCTCTCTCTATAGAAAAGATAGATTTATGAATAGCAGTGGAATCTAGGATGCACGTTCCATTTTATTTGATTTTCGGCATCTAGATGTCCCTGCATTCCAATGTTGATATCCACACGGGAACTCAAACAGAACAATTTGCTTTAAATGGATAACGATTTATCCATTTCAGATAGCCACTCACTTGTGAAACAAAACTGATCATAATTGAGTTAAGCATATCAAGAATAAGATAATTGAAGCCTTTTTAACAATGATATAAACATTGCCTTTATTTTAGTGAAGTTACTCTTTTCCACGTTAGAAAGTTTAATTATCAAGTATTCTGTTGACAAAGTTCATAAAACACAATCTGAAATCTTATCAGTATAATGTATCACGACTGAAGTACAAACATCTCCAGATCAATATTCTAACCCAATTTTAATTTTCAACAACCGAAATTTTTGCGGAAAAATTTTTATGCAGTGTAAGCTCTTAATTATTTGAAGATTCCGTGATTAAGAAATATATATTGAAATAGATTTTTCTGAATAGTTTAAGTTTGAAGTTAATTGATCAAAATGATAATCATTGTTAAAGTACAACAGTTATACTATATCTCGAATTCTACATGTATTCAGGTGGGTGCTACTGATGTCGACAGATATTAGTAGTATGTATCACCAATCGACAGTGGAATGTCTGGTAGTGTAAAATTAAGAAAGTCGGAGAGAAGAGAATGAGAACAGAGAGTGATTGGTATGGAAACGAAGGAACACCAAAGTATGAGACAATTGATTGATATTTTGCAAATCAATTATATACTGTATAGTTCTCAGATTTTACTATGAGACTTTGTTATTTTGTATTCAAACACATTTGGTTGTCCCCACTTGTGTTCCCGTTCATTACAATATAACTATTTCGAACATTTTTAATTTTAATTTAATTTTCTTGCTGTAACTCATTCAAACGAAATAATTCGGTAAATAGAGCATGTTGAGAAATTGTTTGTCCAGATAATATCTGAATATAATGACACTAGTAATTTTAAGGTAATCAGCTATGATATAAAAGTATATGAAATTAATTGTCATAACGTTGTGGTAAAACCACTCAACTTAAAATGTCTTTGCCTTTGTTCGTGAAGCGAACCTCTTCGGCATATATCTAAGTATGCAAACGTATATTTATTCGTATAAATTATTCTGTTTCTAAACGCTAAGGTTAGTTTAAAAACAACTCTATAAATGAGTAATAAAAGGTGTTTATATAGCTTGTTTCTTATTGTAATACTACATATTAGTAAAAATTTGCTTTCAAAATTCATAAAAGCTTTATTAGATATTTTCAAATATTAGTTGTTATGCAATAATACCAATTAAATGGTGTTGAGAATTTGAGTTATCCTCAAATTCAACTGTCTTCCTGTATATTAACAACAATGAATATTGTTAGTTAAGTAAAATAAGCAAATAGTCAAGTGGATCGCTGTACCAATCCTGGGATCTGTTTACTTTTTTCACTATACTAATTATTGAGCTTTTCTAATTGGTATCGATAAAAAGTGCTTCTGATTTAGTAAAATTACTCTTTATCCCTTACTAGTACAGTCTTTGACAACACATCCAGTTGTATAAAGCTAATTGATCATTCACTCGTTTATAAATCATCATTTAAAGTTGATTAATTTACACTAACTTAGATGAAATATATAATCCTGAAAGGTACTCTAGTAAACTAATTATGTTTCTACATTCACACTTTTTTTATCCTGTAATCTAGTTGATGTTATTATTTCTTTTTAATGATTTTAATAATAATTACAAAGTATAGATGGATTTGTCAGCTGAGGAGTCCCAAATAGGATGAAACCCACATCCTGTATTTCACTGTTAACCACTATCCATCTTTGTTTAGAATGCTTGTGACCTAAAGCAATATCGAGGCAATACACACAGTATGCACATATGTATCCATAAGAGACTAATTAATTACAGTCCTAAGGAAAAGAATAAGACCAAAAAACACATTACGCCGGGAAATGGAGACAGTCATCAGAAAAAAGAACATGAATTGGATGGAACTAGAAAAGAAAGCCCAGGACAGAGTGGGTTGGAGAATGCTGGTCGGCGGCCTACGCTCCATTAAGAGTAGCAGGCGTAAATAAGTAAGTAAGTAAATATCAATGAGAAGATACAAATAAACAAATATCAAGTGAATAATCCCTATCATTCGAATAGTATTCTCTTAATCTTTTTAAACCATGATAATCTAATTCTTTAAAAGATATTTAAACTTTCAATTAGTTTTTTCGTTTTGTTTTTGTTCTATTTTCCGTGAATTTGTGTTTTTTTTAAAAATAATTCGATAATCACTATATGAATCATGTTTTAGTTACTATATGTATACTTGAAAGGAATATTGATAAACAATTCGATACAAACAAACAAAAAAATAAAGAAAAAAAACAAACAAAACAAACTATCATCTATCCTGTTTATCTCATTTGGCTTTTAACTTACTGTATAAATATTAATACAACTGAACTAAACATATTTAATTTTTGGTTTCGATTTTAATCTATCTACTGTATAAGTTTATTTATGAATTCAGCAAAAATCAATGATATTTGTCATTTATTATATAAATCATATTGTACAATATACAATAATGTATGATTGACCCTTGATCATAATGACATTGTGAAAATATTTCAATTCATTTATAAATGGAATAATAATTTTAATTAATTTATAGGACATCATAATGAATAGCATGATCAATATATTTATCATAACAATTAATTAACTCAAATCAATATACTGTAATTTTTCAATCACAGTTATTTGTCTATAAGTTTTGGCATTATTATTGTTTATTATTATTATTATTATTATTATTATTATTATTATTATTATTATTTAAAAACACGTAAATATTAATACAAGGAGGTATCAAATAGAAATGCGTCACATAAATCGGATGATTTATGTGAGGACTGGAATACTGCCTAGGTGTCTAATTTAAAACAGGTGGATTTCTTAGGTGGCCACACCCGGAACCTTTAACTTAAAGGTCTAATCCACAAGGCAGGGGCGATACATCAGGAGATGTAGTGGTGTGGAAGATTTGTAGCTCAGGTGGATGATTTTGATGAAGTTTTGTTCTCTGAGCTGGATGGTTTGGTCGTGGAGCTTTCATCGTTCTTCTGATGATGTCGTTCAGAAGAACGATGAAAGCTCCACGACCGAACGATCCAGCTCAGAGAACAAAACTCCATCAAAAAACAGGAGATTTAGTCCCATAGTAGCCGGTCACCAATGATTGGTTCATACACCATTAGGATCCTGAAGCCCATGTTCACCATTGATATGGAATCAGGGTTATTCAATTCCCCTAGGTGGACTCTCCATGTCTATCAACTCGGTTAAAGCACTGGACCTTGGGTTTTCGTCCCCTGAATTTCGTAAACAACACCCTCGTTGCGAGAAGGCGGTGAATAGGTGAATATTAGCGTGACCATGTGAAAACATTTTGAGAGGGACAGATAACTATCCTCACTCTCGGCCGTACCAGGTCATTTGGGGGCAAGATTTGACAACCATTTTGGAAAAATTACTTTAATTATTTATTTCATAGATCTTGCAAAGCAAACGGACATGATTTCATATTGTCCATTTTCATTTCAATGTAATAAGAGTAAAAAATGAAAACAGAAAAAGCAGCTAAACAGAACATATTTATAATTATCAAATAAATTAAGTTTGGTTAAGTGGTAAAATTCTACCAAAAAAGAAAAAGTACAAAGGTAAAGAGTGAATAAATCTTAAAAACTAGTATCTATTCTAAGTAACGACTAAAGTCCCCGTTTATTAAATAATAATATAAGTGTACTGATATAAACCTTGAAATCCATATCTCAATGCTAGGCTGGGATAAATCGACCACATTATATGGTAATAACATATATTCACTGCTCGTCGCTAGTGTTCTTCAAGACTAATTGGATATTTGCCAACTAGGGATGAGTAAAAAGTAGATCGGCCATGTGAGCTAATGATAACTGGTTGTTTCAGATCTAACTGAAATTGTACTCTTAACTATTTTATCACTAAGTTCGTTAGGTTATCATATGGGTTCAATACTCTGAAGATGAGTATTATGAAATAATTTTCATTTACGCATGTCTTTACATTCTAGAGTTTACTTTTACAGAACTTAGATTATTACATCATGAACTGTTGTTCAGAATACTAATCTTTTGGTGGGCAAACGAGGATCTCGATAGAGTCTTAGGTATTGACTAAAATCAAGTGAAAATTTTGTTACTATGACATAATTTACTCGGACGTCAACCCAACATAGCTGATGAGATATTTAGATTTGTGAAATGGCAAATCCGCCTGGCCACTTTATTCTCCGTAGTCAAGGATTATCATAAACAACTACTAAAAGACAGTTTACATTAAAATGAATGGATATGCGCCCAAGTCATTCCTAGCTTACTGCATGAAGTGTTACCTAATAACCAACGAAACTCTTTAGTCTGAACATGAATCACTTAATGATCTTAATAATAAAAAGTACTAGAAAGTAAATCTAACGACTTAAATTAATGCTTACCTGTCCAACATACAACTGAAACTTATTTCCTGTAGTTGAATCAATGAAATCAACTGGTATTGCACTACATATCGGAGAACCAAGACCATCACGTAAACATAAATCATTTAAATTCTAAAATTAAACAAGAGGTATCTGTAGAATGTTGACTTGACTGGTAATTTTAAAAAAATATTTAGTACATACATATAAGAAGGCTAGTGATTACTAATGAGATGAGGTAAAAATAAGGAATAATTACATTTGACATTAATTGAAACTACACTTGTTGAAATAAATAGATTATGATAAGAATGAAACAGAAGAACTAAACGTAGTGAGATAGATAATTAAGAGAATCAATGAACAGTTTAGGGGTCTTGGAGATTGTCAAGCTTTTGATTGAGATCATGAACCGATGGATGTTAGACCACCATTGAAAACCTGGAATCACTGGACGGCCGTCTCACCCTATTATGGGACTCCTCAACAGCGCGCATCCACGGTCCCGCTCGCGGGATTCAAACCCAGGGCCTTCGGTCTCGCGCGCGAACGCTTAACCTACTGGACCACTGTGCCGGCAGCCAATGGTGTTAATGTCTAACCTCAACCAATCCACAAAATTGCTTGACCATCTTCCATTGTACTGAGGTAGACATATGTTTTTACCCAACACGGATTAGCTCCACTGGTCACGGCTGCTCACCAGAACTCCGAAAATTTTCTCAGGAAGCTAGTCACTAGTGAGCACGTGGTAATTATCAGTTTAGGGGTTGTGGATATTGTTAAGTTTTTAATAGAGATCATGAAACGGCCGTCCAATGCTTCCAGGTTCTCAATGGTGGTCTAACATCAGTCGGTTCATGATCTCAATCAAAAAAAGAATCAATGAAACTTTCATATTCAAACAATTACACTCTTAGGGGTAAGCATATATAAATCCATACAATTAGATATGAATTAATTAAATTGTATGCATATTTCTTTTCTTCAATGAAGTACACATTGTATAAATTGAGACTAACCTCTAAAAGAGCCAACGGATTCAACTGACGTTGCTGTAATTTCTAAAATAATAAGAAAATAATAATAATGATAATGATGAAACTAACGAATTAATGCATAATGAAAAGACACTTGTTTCTTTTTTCTTACATTAAACCAAATGAATCATTTCAAAAATAAAATTGATTAGTGATTATTTTTTTAATAGGCAAAACGAAAAAAAAATAATTAAAATTTGGCAGAAATTGTCTTCTAGCTAATTTTATTTTTATTTTAATCTCTATGCATGTTATTAGTAAACAAGTATGATCAGTAAAATAGCCTTAAACACAAGGCTAACTGTTATGTTTCTTTGTTACAAAAAGAAAATAAGAAGAAGAAATGTTACAGTGCGTTAGTAATCAAAGAAAAAGAAATTCAGTATATTATCACATAAATAAGCTGGTGAATTAGACAGTTTACTAACTGACTAGCTAGGAATTAGGAAGTATTAGTTGATTATCTTTTTTCTGTTCATGGAGAAATCATGCGTACACACACACACACACACACGAGATTTACGGTAATCAAACCATATTTTCAAAAAAAAACAAATCAAACTATCTCATTAGATTCAGTCATGATAATTTACCAAAAATTTGATATTAAAAACAAGTAAACAAACAAACAAACCAATCATCAGTTAATGAAATAGATTGAGTTTCTGATGCATTTTATAAATAATTGTAGTATTGTTGATAATCAAGTTTCTTGACTTATTAATCATAATGTATAGTAATTTGTAGGTCTATACAATGACCCTACAATCATTACGTTAAAGAAATAATTTAATGAAATGTCAGTATATTGAATTTGATGACTTGACACATGTTATATGCTTTCTTTTTATTACACTTAATTGTGTAAAGGTTTCAGATATTGCACATCAGTTTAAACACGAGTAAATGAATGAATGAATGAATCGATGTTCGAACCTAAGACACATTACCTAAGAGTTGAATGCTTCAATTAACTAATCATTACATCATAAGTATACATGAACAGATACGTAATGTAACATAGACCATTGTTATTGAGAATGTTAGTTTAACTTTAGAGAATAAAAAACCATTAGATGACACTGAATATATATTTGAATTACAAATTAATTTACCGCTATTACACCAAGCATGGTATGGGATTTATGTTGTTAGTGCGAATTTTAAACAGTGTAAGCAAGATACACGTAGAGTTCCCCAAGGAACATGTGTACAAGGTACTGTTTTTGGAAATGAGTATAAATTTCAGTGGTGGATTTTATTATCATGAAATATTATTTGACATTTAACTGTCTACTTAACTAACACTTGGAAAAGATACATGTTGTGTAATATTTTATGAATGTTGATTGACCACTTCCACGAATTCGGTGTTCATCTTGTTGTGCTAATGAGGTGTGGCCATTTGGACCAATGAATATATATATATACCTGGTCCTACTTTGTATCTGACCAACTGAATATTTTATGAAATCAATACAAATGATACAGAAAACGATCATTCCTATGGATAATAATAATATTTTTATTTTTTTGAGCTTTCTTCTACCTCATATGTAGCCAAACTGTGTTCCTTATATATAATATTTTCAATAAGTATTTCATGTATAATTCAATGTAACTTAGTTACTTAGTATACGTTTGATGAACTCATTTTATAGGTAAACTGTATGTAGAAAATGTATTTACACTAGCCGGTTTGTCAAGTTCAGATTGTTAATTTCAATAATCACATATCAAATTATCATGGAACACAGCAATTCATTAAAATAGATAAGTATTATTACTACAAATGTCATGTCTATTTATATTAGATTCAAGAAAGTAAATGATAATTATCAAAATCTTTCATTGATTCATTTATAATTTTTAAATCTTTTTTCTCATAATCAAATCACTAATATGCAAATATGAGTAGTATATTACAATTTGTAATGGGAAATATTTTATTACAAAACAAAATTATTAATTATTTGTGATTACACCATGAAAAATGTGATAAGTTTTGTGATGTTTATATATATTCATATATATAAGGTTATATAAATAGGCAAATAGCATAAATCTTATCAATATCATAAATAGAGCATTTAAAACAGCGAAATAAAAATCATTAATAAATGGGGTTAATTAGAACAAAAGTGATAGGAATTGAAAATGATAAGTGTAGCAGGAATTTATTAGTAAAAATATATGGATTAGGATACGATTGTTTTATTGTAAGCAATTTTGTTAATATTTTGCCTTAGTAGTTTCAGACTGATAGTTGTTGAATTATTATCGTGATATATATATATATATATATATATATATATATATATATATATATATATATATATATATATATATATATATATATATATGTATATATGACTACACGTTCTTGTTATCAGGATTTACTTTAACTGCATACACTTTTTAATTTTTGTTTCATGATAAACTTACTAACTGATCGCATAAACGCCATTGATGTTTAGCCTTGCCTCAAATTATTCACAAGATAGAAAAAGGAATTAGATATAGAAAAAATATACAAAAAATGGTGAGTTAAACATGTTTAACGTGATGATTAATGTTTGATAAAATACTACGTAACTATATATTAATTAATGAGATCATTAGTCAAGTCATGTCAAATCACTGTCGAAAACCTAGATCCTTTCAACAATTGGTGGGTTCTAGTATGGGGCTCCTTGGCAAAGTCCATCCATGGGTTCAAACTTGAGACAATTGACTTCACTCGCAAACACTTAATATTTAGACTACTAAACCGAAATCCAATGGTATAAAAGTGTAACTCCAGTCAATACGCTATAGTGCTAAATTATCTTCCATTGTCTTTCGTGAGTACTTTTTTTCGAATCCTATAATGTTAAACTACTCTAATAAAGGTTTTCCACTTTTAAAAAGTCCCAAACTAATATAAAACAGATGTACAACGCTTACAGGTTTTTAATGATTGTCCAACAGAGATCGGTTCGTGATCTCAATAAAATGCAATAATCTCTACAACATATACATTAATATACTGATTAAACAGTTATAAACTCATTTATAAAATAATAATAATAATCGTGGAAAAGTGCTTTCAATAACGAACCAACTTTGATCTGATGTAAATCCAGCTGAAACTGGACTTTCTTGGATGTTGTAACTTCTCATTTTATATAAGAATAGTTAATAAATAATAATCATTTTTAGGGTATTGGGAATAAGACGAAAATAAACTACATGAAGGGTCCCAATGCCCTTTTATGTAAATGATCTGTATTAGACAATTTGAAATGTTTGATTTTTGTTAATGTTACTAGACAATGATATACTTTTTAGTAATAGTAATCACGTAATTTATGGTTTTTTATGATAACAAATGTGAAGATCAGAATTAAGCAGAATTTTAGATTTCATGTACTTTAATATATTTGCTGTAAATACGATAGGCGATTATAAGCATACGTAATTAATATTTGGTGTTTGGTTGTTTAAATTTAAGCAAATGAACTATATCACCGGACGTGATATCGAGTATATCAAACTTTATCTCATATTATTTAGGACTCGGGACTTTACGCTTGATCATCTACTACAATGAAGTATCATGAAAGTAAACGATATTGTGTCATCTTATATTTTGTTTCACTGTTTATAAGTTTACGTGGAAATTACTATAAATTTATAGTTTTCAAAAGTATTTATGCAGTTAGTTTGTTTTAAAAAATAATTACCAAAGTACCTTATAATAATACAAGATTAGGCACTCATCTGAAACACTTAGAACACTAAAAGATATAACGAGTTTCTTTTCCTACAAGTAATTGTTAGTTGAATATCTAATTAGTTGACTTTCAAACACATTCGAATATATAATGATAAATGTATTCACTGATAAAAGTGAGAACATTTACACTTTTTATGAGCATTTGACTTAATAAAGTATTATTACGTTATGTATCCACTTATTTGATACCTATGTGTACACATACTCTTTCAGGTAATTTAATTTATAATGAATCAACAATAAACATACTTAATACAGTTTAGAATGATGTCTCAGTAATTTATGAAAGACTTTATAATACTTATCAGTGATTATTTATTTTCAGATGGGTTTTGTGGATATTATAGTAATTTCAATGGTTAAGATCATGAGTCAGTTGAAACTAGACCATCATGGAAAACCTGGAAGCACTGGACGGCCGTTTCATCCCATTGTGGGACTCCTCAGCAGTGCGCACCCACGACCTCGCTCCCTGCGAGACTCGAACCCAGGAACTACTGGTTTCGCACGCGAGGACTTAACTATTAGACCACTGAGCTGGCATCCAATGGTGTTAATTTCTAACTTCAATCAATCCACGAAGTTGCGCCACCGTACACCATTGTCTTCAGTGAGCTGATATGTCACAACAGACCTAGTTGAACTCCGCTGGTAACGGCTTCCCACTAGAACTCCAGGAGTGTCTCCTGAAATCAGTCACTAGTGAGCAGATGATTATTATCAGAAGGGGTTTGTGGAGATTTTAGGAATTTCACAGATTGAAATCATGAGTCAGTTGAAGCTAGACCACCATGGAAAACCTGGAAGCACTGGACGGCCATTTCGTCCTATTGTGAGACTCCTCAGCAGTGCGCATCCGTCCAGTGCTTCCAGGTTTTCCATGGTGGTCTAGCTTCAACTGACTCATGATTTCAATCTGTGAAATTTCTAAAATCTTCACAAACCCCTTCTGATAATGATATATTTATCAAAGCTTTTCATACCTATTAAAGAATTAATAACTATTTTGTCCCTGTGTGGCATTTTCTGTAGAGACCTGGAAATCTAGAAGGAATCGTATGCTCATTCCTGGTCACAAACAGCTATTAAGTTTAAACGCAGAAATAAAAATTCTATTCAGTACTCACTAGTTCCCTAATGGTTCTCTCACTTGTGTCAATAAACTTAGTAATTTTTAAAATACTATCGGAGATGTATTTCGTCTAGAGAATTAGACAAGTTGCTTGAAGGTTAAAAACTTCCCTCTACATCTGAAAGTACTGGTTTTGATCTCGGAAAAGAAGAGGTTGTGAGTCCGTATTGCTAAATAATTTCATACCAGTAAAACAATGATGTTTTATTTTTTGAATACCCTTCTGTATCAGATGTTTATTACCTTAGTCAACGTGGTGTAACGAGCGAAGTCTTTACTCTGAGTAATCGGAGTTTCAGGGATTTTGAAACATAGTTTGTACTATAATAATCGTATATTTATTTATACAACAGGCAACCAACTTGCTTGTTTCACAGCGTCAAAGGAATCTGACAATTGTCTGACAGTCCTCACAAGTGTGAAATGTTTTTCACTTTCAGAATAGGACTAAGATTAATCTATTATTTTATTATTTCTGTTAGTGCATAGTTTACTGTTATTTTTTGATTACTTTCAGTATTGGTAATCAAACAAAAACCTTTTAAACTTAAGGCATTATTAGTTTCACTGTTTAATATGATGTACCCCTTTGAGGTTGCAATCAGCTAAGTTGAAGTAACCATGATGCTGTTTTTGGTGTCCCTCAATTGTAGTCAATTCTTCTAAATTGGGTGCAGAGTATAAAACAACAGGTTTATAAACTCTTGAATAATACTTTAACTAGAAAAGTTATACTTAATTACATACCTGGAGTTTATGATTCATCAAAATAAGCTAAGGAGTTTCACTCAGAGCAAATTTTTTATAGCTAAGAAGTTTTGTTATAGGTAATTGAAAACTAATGTTTAGAATTGACTGATTCGTAGATTTTTTTCCTCAATGCTTTATTTTGAATATTCCATAAACAAATGAATATAACTAATTAAACTCAATTGAAGTTTTATCTATTAGCAGATGAGACATGAAATATTCAAGTGATATTAGCATATTTAGATAAGAATAAAATTTTAACTTTATTAACGAAATCATAGTTACTTTTAAACCTTACATAACACTTATCATCTGATTGAATAAAATTGATCTTAAATATTGTTTATAATTCTGATCGTATTATCAAATGATCAGATACTTCATCAAATTGAAAAGTATAATTAATATTTTGTTGTTATTCTTGTAATAGACAAATGTTTAACAATTGGGAAAATGTATACAAACTTGAAGTGAGAAGATATATGATTGACATAGCTATTATTAATTGTTTGATTTTATATTATTTATTTATTTGTCTGTGTAATATTGTGGTGTGTGCTACTGATATCGACAGATATGAGTAGTATGTATCTCCAATTGAAAGTGAAATGTATGATGGCAGAAGACCGAAAGAAAGAGAACCAGTGCAGAGAATGATTGGTGTGGAAACGAAGGAACAATGAAATCTGAGATGATTCATTGGAATTTTGCAAATGAAGTATCTACCGTATAGCTCTCGCATTTTACTTTTGGTTGCACACACTGGTGTTCTCATTCACCACAATATAACATTGTGATCATCTAATAATCTTTGTTATCAACAGGCTTTGATAATTTAGTGTCAGATGAAGTATAATTTACCTCAATGTTGATAAACATTAAGTGAATCTTTTAAACCTACCATCTGTTGATTATCTCGAAACACATAATTCAACTGGGAAAAGCTATACAATAATGGGTGAAATATATCACAAAACTGAAATGACAAGTTATTCGATAAGTATTTAACTTGTTTAACACAGATGTATACGGAGAATGAAGTAATATATATTGGTGAATTATGACACACATAAATTATTTAGGGTGTCTGATATCATTCTTGAGTTAATAATTTAATTATTTTTGACATGCAATGATTATGAAGGTAGAATGTTAATATAAACAGGCAGAAATGTCCATAAATTAAGTTCTTAATTCTAAAATATAGACATATATTAGACAATTTAAACTATACACATTGTTTTTTTGAGTGAATTAACAGTTCAGTTTGTAAGATTAACATAGAAACAAAGGAATATAAGATCAAGGTTAATTTTAGAAGAGGTTTTCAATTTTCCATTGTCGATTTTCAGGACTGTAATTACTCAATCGCTGTTGCTTGTACATATTATAAGCAGATTATCTCGACACAGCCTTTACTTACAAATTTTTAGCTTAATTAGTGTGAGTCCCAAAATGGACTGCAAACATAACCTGGATTTCATTACTAGTTATTTACCAAATATTCTAAAGACGTTAGTATTGTAGCCAAGTATGTTGGAATCCTGTTGGGTTAAAAGTACTATACAAATAACAATTAATTAAAAAGAAGCAATTAACCATGATCTTAATCTACCTATTTATGCATATTAATTGATTGGCTGATGTAAGGTGAGCTAGGCTAGTAATACAGTTACCTTACTTTTCCACTATCTATCAGCCTTTTGGGAGCTGAAACATAACTAATCCATGACCTATGAACATACTCAAGCTTGGAGTGAAGTGGTTGCTCGGTAATGAAATCGGATAACATTTGAGTTCTATTGCGAGGTGACTAAACTTAAAAAATATCAACAACTAGATTACAACTATGTAACTGAATGTGACCGTAGTTTATCATTGGATTCATGGCCTATATAGTTAGGTCTGAAAATGGCCATAGACGACCAATCACAATGAAACAGTCGTCAAACGACCTATGGAATTCAATGATCCTTTGATAAGTGATGTCTCATGAAGATTTATTTTTTTAAATAGAATTTTCATCTGTAAATGTGTCAGCCATGTCGAAAATGATATAAACAGAACTTATATGACTTACATTTGGTTGTTTATTAAATTATTAAATAAACAAATATACTATTTGTAAATTATTAACCTTTTGTCAAAATGTAATCATTATTTTTGTTATTATTATGTATACGTAAATTGTTACAGGTGAAGTTGTAATGTGTACACCGGAATTGAAAATACAGTCAAAAAATATGTCTTCTTACTGATTCAAATGTAAACAAATCAACTCGTCGGTTTATTATCGATTTTAACGACAGCGTATTTATATATAGGTCACCTGCTAAACTAAGAAACTGCACGTTGTTACATTCTAAGACAATGCTAATTAATTAAAGTTTAAAATTAAAGCCTGTCGTCCTATAACTTAAACAGACGTGAGTATATTTATAGTCTGTTAGTACCATCATTCATGTCGCTGAATTAAGGATAAGCAGACTGACTATAGAGTTCACCTATAGGATTTACTATCAATGTACAAATAATTTAGTGAGGTAATTTACATTTACTTGAAGTCAAATAATTAATGGTCGAAGTAACTATTTATTTTAAATAAAACATCAATATTTTGCAATCACTTTGGAAAATTTACATTTTAGACTACTAATAGTTTTACTGATATTATCATCTGACTTAATCAATAAAATAATTATAATGAATAAAATAAACGGTCTATTAATAAATGATTCTATTTACTCACTTCTACAGGATGTTTACGATCCTTTTGGGCTCCAGCGCTTCGACTACCAGCCGCATTCCTTCGGCCCGTTCTTGAGGAATTCAGCTTCATACCACTAGTAAAACAATTGTTAGTAGTGTATGAAATTTAACCGATCTCATATTATTATAATTGTTGTTCGGAAAAATGCTTAATTGCTTTGCATCTGACTGACTTATTTTTCGAAAAACTACAAATATTACTAGGTATGAACATAATTTGTGTAAATTCTTTGCGGCTAATGCCAAACCATGACGAAAATTTTCTTAAGTTGAAATAAAACTATTCTATCACGAGTGTTGTTGAGAATCATTACTGTTTAAATGGGACTGTGAAAAGATAGTTATTTTCAACAATGCTATTCATTCGTGTTTTATCATCGTATTTACAATAATTTATCAAGTATAATAACCTGTTGCAAAAATAGAAGGATGAATATATGCTATAATATTTGGGACCTTCAAGTGTTGAAAGAGATCTGCCTAATGACGGAGAAGTTAGAGAAAAATCATCTGATGAAAATAAATCTATGAAAGGTAATCTTCCATTTGACAAGCATAAAAAAGTTGAAGAAGAATTCAAAAACGCAGAGGTATGTATGTGTTACCTTTCTCTTGTGGAGCTAGCTACATTGGCTACACAAAACGATTAGTTACTATAAGCGTCTCCAGGCAATACTATTCATTGGTTTAAAAGGAAGAATTTAAAACTATCAGTAGCTTAATATTCGAACTTATCTTCGGTTCTGATAACGATATCACACGAGAAATATCTTTTAAAATAATTTATCTACATGACCAGGTAACTAAATTCAAAGGTTGTGCGTTTCAACAGCTTATGAACTTCTGAGGTGTTAACAACTCAATATTTGAAGCCTTAACTCTGTGTAAAAGAAACAACACTTGTATACTACCATGTCATCGTGGCTTTAAAGCTTAATTTTTTTATTTGATAAATTAGATCTTAATACCTTTTAGTAATATTTTAATCTTTAATTGTTTTTATTGCCACGCGATTATGACAAAATCATAAGTATGCCCTGTATAAAGGTAATTTCATATTGGCTTTCATACGAGCCTACGATTCTATGTCTGAGCCACTAGTAATCGTGAATGACAAAAGCACGAACAACGTTAACTTCCAACGACAAATGTGTGCGATTTTATTTGGTTTTTTATACATTTTCGTGCTTTTTTTAAGTAGTTTATAATTTCACTACCAATTTTAGAAGACTGTCTTCCTATTTATAATACTGATTGAAGGAATATAATACAATCATTTTCAGAAAAAAATTACATGGTTAACTCAGCAACGGTTAAAATTTCACTTAAAGTTCTCCCAAAGTGAAGAATTTCATTTAAGCTTACTCAGAAAGGATAGTAGTTTCATTTCGAATAGTAATCAAATTACGTTATTTTAGTGCATCGTTTAAGCCTAATGAGCATGGTTTATCGATCTTATATTCTACATAGAAACATCGGTACAGATTTGGCATCAAAACCTAAGCTTGGTAGTACTAATAAAATTGATATCACAAACTAACCTAAGTTAGACACCCAGTATCGTAAATTGATTGGAGTTCGACAAATACACCATTGGATTACGGCCCATTGGTCTGGAGATTGAACATTTATGTGTGAAACCAATAGTTCCAAGTTTTAATACTTGGTTGGACCATGGTTGTGTACTCCTGGGAACTGCAATACCAGAATGAGACAGCTGCTCATCACTTCCGAGTTTTCAATGGATGTCTAACTTGCGTTAGTTCGTGATATCAATAAAATCCAGTAATCGCCACAAACCTTTGTCATGATAAGATTATTAATAGGCGTTTCCTGTGTTTGCTAAATATTTAGCCTCGTCAAATAATATAAACTACATAACCTTTTCCGTTTAGATCGGAATGGAGTAAAGGGTTATTTATATTGTTATTTTAAATTGAGCTCACCTAGGACTTCCAAGATTATTATCTGTTCGCCCGGAGTTTAAAACATCTGAATTAGTTGGTAAAAGATCAGTTCCCATAGGCGTACCTTGAGATGGTAAAAAAAATGGTGATGTTGATTCCAATTGGGGTAACATTCCTCCAGCTGCTACAACAGCTGTAGCTGCGGCAATCATGTTTTGATCATTTGATAAAACTAATTCATTTAATAATCTTCCAGGTGTACGAGAGGGTTGTTGTCGAGTGTTTAACTCATTCTTGTCAACTGGTTTTGCCCATGTAACTTCTATCTTTGAACCATCAATATAGGTATCTGTAAACATTAAATGAATGTCAACCTTACACTAAATATAAAAGGAATTTAAACAATTCGACTTTATTTAAAATATTAATTTCTTGGATACATACATACAGCCCTTGAAAAAGACGAAGAATAGTAAAAAACTTATTTTTTTCACACACAATTGTGGGTTTATATAGTTGACTGTAAGTGATATTAACCATGATATTAAGAAATATTCCACTTGAAATCATTGAATACAACAGGCAAAATACACTTAAACTTATAATTTATCCTTTAGCCAATAAAATTTGTATTTCATCTACAAATTTTTTCTGTCCATTCGTTTCAACAAGGGATTGTTATGGTTCGGGTTGACAGACAGTCTAAGTAAATACAGAAATCACTTAATCACTGTATGACACAGCCAGCTTCTATACTGGCAAAAGGCGCATAGGTATATCATTTAGACAAGGATCAATTGATAGGATAACAAATTCAGTGAATACTCAAATTACTGCAGCACGGTGCAGTCTAAAATAGAGAGTGAGTTAACAGTTGACCATCATTAAAGTTTATTATTTTGTATTATTCAATATTATATCAAGAAGCAGAAATTAAATGTATATATGTTCTCGGGATTTAAATCACTCTTGTGAAAATAACTAATAAATATATCACCTTCATAACCAATTTTCAGAATATGAAGTAGATCATAAACCCAAAACATAATTGTTTACGAGTTCACCCAAAACTTTATATCGGTTTTTTTCTTTTAAATGTAATTTCTCCCAACATTTCAGCTATACTGTTAAAGGACACAATCTGCTAAGAACCAGTAACAGTTGATATTTTTGTTATTATTGTAGTAGTGTTCCTCTTTCTTTGTTCGTTAAGTGTCATTTGTTTGCATGATAACCGCTTGACAAAAATATTTAGGCATATTTTACTATCCGTTTTCTAAAAAAATACTGAAAACTTACAACTACAACCTTTCACTACTTTTCATAAACGGAACTGATTAAGTTAGTCATAATCTAATATCATTATCCATGTTCATTGAAAAAAGTTTCTTATTAAAATTAGTATCACAGTCAAAAATCATTATTTCACATCAAAACGTGGATTGGATTCGTTACGAATTGATCTCAGCCGAGATACCGTTCAAAATAAGGAACTATTAGACAGTTCTTTTGTTTCAGTACCAGAGTCTTCAGAGATGTACACTCATCACATCGTCTAGGATTGAGATGAGTTCCTGAAGAATAGATGGGAATTAGTGACCAATGAAGTTCAAACAGAGGTAGAGGAAAAAAATGTGATCAATAGTAGTCAATGATTGTCGTTATGTACTGCAAATTGACTGAAGTTCTAAGTTTTTACCGCTAGATATCAGTTCAGTAGTTTTAGTGGTTAAGCTCTTTCCTCAAAACCCAAAGGTCTTAATTCCTTCTCATACAAGGACGAAACAGATATCCAGTGATCCTTGGTCTACTGTAGCACCTTTAAATGAACTTTACGTACGCCATTTACAGAATAAAAAATTATTCACAAGACTAGTTTATTTAGATTCATATTAAATCAGAAAACGAATAAGTAATGTTAGAAATGTGTTCTATTCTGTTTTCCAGACACCAGACTTATATCTATTCACTATTATCTATTTTAAAAAATCAGCTCATTGTGAATGTAGCAAATGTTCGGTCATTCATAAAACATCATTTGGTCCGAACACGTTTAAATAAGATGAAATTTACAATAAAGTAACAAAAAAAACTGAATTAGAAATTTCTGTTTTCATAAACTTTACTCAAATAAAAGAATATTGAAAATTTAGAAACACGAACAAAACGTCGAGACGGTTCAGTCGGTTATGTGCTAGACATCTATGGAATCAGACTTCATAGTTATTCAACAACTGACAAACAAACATCAGTAATAACAAGAACTATTCAAGCCAACTTGCTTGATATTTAAGCAAAATCTCTACAAGGTCGCTTTTAAATATTTGTGTTAATAATTTTCATAGAAAGATCATGAAAGCTTTATTGGTCATTTACAGTATTTCATGTTATGCAAGCTAAGTAGTCCAAAATTCCACAAAAATTACCAACAAAAGAATTCAATTAAAATACAAAATGATTAAAATAATCTAGGAAGCAATAAACGTTGAATTATTCAATGTTCAAGAAACAGGTGTATATAATGAATATCAGTAGACAGTTGCTGTGATGTATGCTACTTATGTCGACAGACATAAGTAGTATGTGACACCGATCGGGAGTGGAAATCCTGGTAGCAGAAGGTTAAGAAGATAGAATTGGAGAAAAGAGGAAGGGAAAATAGAAACAAATCGTGAATTGGAGGAATCATACAGAATGTGAAGGACAATTAATGGAAGATTTCCAAATGAAATATTTGATGTATGGTTCTTATATTTTATCAAGATATTTTGTAATTTTGCATTAAATAATATAACGGTTGTTCCTACCTGAGTTCTCATTCATTACACTACTATGACTAATTTGACCTATCAAGTATAATATATTGAATTTAGAAAATATTTTGTTTCCTATTATGATAAATTCAAAACTAATGACTCAATGAAAATAATATATATGTTTCTGATTTGATAAATTTTACCAGCTCTTTGTTACTTTGACCACAACTACATATGGAATCTAAGCAAATTATACTATGGTTAAAGGTTAATGACCATCAAGCGATATAAACAGAAAGATTTTTCAGCCGGAAATCTAACATTAAAATTTATATCTAATTTGTAATTCTATAAAAATACTGATTATCAAATACTAGTAATGTGGTACTCTTGACCCATGTATTTATTTAATGGAGAAAATAACATTTCGAGAGAAATAATCAAACAAGAACTCACAAATTTCACCTTTCATATGATAGAGAGTGGCATAAAGGAATAATTCCACTGGGAGTTTTAGTTTGAAAAACAGTTGTGTTATTGTTTACTTTAATCATTTCTGGATAAAATAGCTGATATGTTTTAGAAATTTTAATACTAGGAAGTTTATACTTTAGTCATCTACTATTCTCTGAAAGTGAGAACGACAGAAGTATTGGTTGAAAAGCAATTATATGAATTCCCTTTATTTTATGAGTTTTCATTATTTGCTAAGAAAGTTAATCATACTACTTAAATATATTGATTCGATTGAACTATACTGTGTTTTCTGATCGAAATCAGCAGCAGCCTTTAAAATGACATGATTTATCAATTAAGTTATTTAAATGCAATATCATTAGGTGAATATTATAGAAAACACTAACATATATCAAATGAACTGTTGTCTAAAGCAATTGAAAATCGATTAATCTCCTACGCATTTTATGAAGAACTATATTCGTTAATTTGTATGTACGTGATAAAACGCATTAATTAGAAGAACAAATAAGACGATTAGCTTAAGTAGTTTTAAAAATAGCTTAGAGAAATTGTGAATTAAGAGCGCTAAAATCCTTAATTGTGAAGTTTTGTGACTTTTGAGCAATAACTTATATATAGAATGTGGATATTTCAAAGTCATTTAATATTATCAAATTTTATAGTTGAATTCATAAGTCGATTGAAGCTAGACCAACATGGAAAACCTGGAATCACTGGACGGCCGTTTCATATTAGTATGGGACACCTCAGCAGTGCGCATCCACGATCCCGCTGCGCGAGACTCGGACCCAAAACCTATCACCACAGGCGCGAGCGCTCAACCCCTAGACCACTGAGCCGGCATCCAATGGACTAGGATGAAACGGCCATCCAGTGCTTCCAGGTTTCCCATGGTGGTCTAGCTTCATTTAATATTATCAATTTAAAAATTAACACAGTTTATTGTATTGCTGTCAAAACACCTAATGTATACATTCTGAGAGTGACAGTTCTCTGTTCATAAATATAATGTCAATGTAGATTTTCTTATCTGATTTTGATTTATTTATCTATTTGTATTTATATGCTGACATCTATCCACTTCAAAATGCATTCACTTTCGCTGTTTGATTTATATTTACTTACTCCACTAGACTTGTATTAAACCTGTAAATATTTTCGAGGAAATTATTGTATAACATTTTGATCGTTTTCATTGTCAGGCTAATTTCTTTCTAGCCTAAACATAACATAATCTGAAGTTTTCATATACAGATCATATAAATTAATTGATAACCATATTGATAAACCTTGTGATTTTAACCGTATAGAGTTTAGTATCTTATTTATACGATACTATATTGTACTATTCAATACATTTTAGTGATTCCATTAAGATTATAAACAGTTGATAAGAAAATAAATACATATACTTGTCCTTCAACTGTTATTCGTGTTATTTTCGACTTCTCAAAGGGTTTGTAGCATTAAATCTTTAGAATAAGTTAAGAAATGAAGTAGCATATATTGGTATTACAACAACTAAGTATTGTTCACAAGATATTAGTCAGTAAATCGTTACCAATTCATAATCTGATATAAATATTTCTTAACTCGAATTCCAATGCCACATTAACACGACAAGATGAAAGTAAAAAGATGAATAACAAAAGATTCATTATAAGATAGCTATTCATTTGTGATATCGATGTTAATTAAATGGCATTTAATTATGATAGCTATTCCTAAAATCTGTTTCGCTTTTATCTTTCTAACCATTTTATCACAAAGAATGTCTACTTAAGAAAAAAACGTTGAGTAATGGTACATTCAATTTATATATATATATATATATATATATATATCAGTCTATATAAACAATTTATAGCGTAAAGAATCAATCCTAAATATGAGTAGAATAAATATGCTAATCGTTTTTGTTTTGTAAAGAAAACCTAATGACACATAAAATTTTCGGTTAATTCATGTGAAACGCATGTAGTAACTTATTATTGTATCTAATACAAAAAACAAAAAAAAACATACTATTCTTTTCTAACAACACTTTATTTCTTTTATAATCCGTTTGAATAAATCTAGCAACGTATAATAACCGATAAAAGTTACATCTAACTAATTAGCATAAGTTTTGAAGGAAAAAACACACATAGTAAATGTGTTTTCATTGTGCACCCTTTTACAAGAATAAAAAATATAAATATACATTTTTGACTACTAAAGAACTATAGATTTACATATATAATTCATCTTGGTAATGCAATATATATATTGATTACACTTTTCAGATATCTACAAGTAGGTAATAATCTAACACTTGGTGTACTGAATAATTAACTCTCAACCTAGTTATATGAAAATAATGAAAATAGTTACATATGCTGACGTATAACTAATGATTTTATCATTATTATTATTATTGTATGTATAGAATGTAACTGGATTTATTCTTGAGCTAATTCAAATACTAAATTAATCAAGTAATTGCGACGTAATCAAAATTTGCATATATATACGCCAATATAATTAAAAGAGATGGGAATTTATCAAGATTTTGACTTAAAACATAATTCTTATTTTGTGATATTGACTTTCACATCAATTCATTACATAGTGTGGAATACATATATGAATATTCTCATGAGAATAATTTATATTATTTATTTAAACTCATAGACCTTGGTACTAAGAGGTACCGAAATCTATATATTTCACATAAATCATTGTAGTTGTATGTGGGTTGATATACTGTCTGAATGCCAAAATCGCAAATGATTTTCTTAAGCAGCCACCCCTGTAACATTTGACCCAGATGTCTAATCCTCAAGGGAGCGCAGCAACGTTAGAAGTTGCAGTCCCATGGTATTCGGTGACCAAGGGCAGGTTCATACACCATTTACTCCCTCATAGTCTAAAGGCCTATGTACACCATTGGTTTGGGATCAGATTTTCCCGACTTTTTTGAAGGGATCTTCTGTACCCACCAAAACGGTTTAATTGCTGAGTATTCTCTTTTCGTTCTCTCGATTTCGTAAACAATACACTGACCGAGAGAAAGAAGTAAGCAGGACTTCTGTGAAAGTAACTATATACATGTGGCCATATGAGAACATTGCGAGAGAGGTAGAGAGTTGACATTCTCCACCTTTGCCCGTACCACAGCATTTGAGGGCTGAGAATAAACCCTTAATCGTATAAAAATCATTAAGAAATCAACTATTTATCAAAGCATATGATATATATGAGAATTTTCAACTTACCGTTTAAAGTATGCAAACATTGTGAAGCTTGTTCACGCTCTCTGAAGTGAATAAACGCATAATCACTTATTTTTTTTACTCTTTCAACACTGTTAGGATCACCACCGGCAGCTTTAATAAACGAATCACGTAAACTCTCTTCTGTAGTTGACAGCATTAGATTGCGAACATATAAAATCTTTACCTAAAGTGATAAAGTAGTTATTTAAAGTCTATTATTGATAGATCTAGTCATTCAAATACTGTTTAAATGAATCTCAGAAGTGGAATGACACTACCAAATGGATTAATTATGCCTTTGTTTTCATTTGTCGATCATAGATTTAAAATTTTGTATTGATGCTCTTGTGAAATTCTACACTGAAAGAACAGAAATATTAACACTTTCTGTCTTATCTTACATTATTGTTTTCTTAATTTTTAATAGACGATTGAAACCTTTATAAAACAATATGATAAGTGGATTCAATGTTAAATATATTGGTCACTAAATGTTAAGCTATATAAAATCTTAAATGCCTATTGAAGTATATCATTTCCATCAGACTTTTTATAAGGTCTTATATTTACCATAAATTATATCAAACAATACAACCTTTGCATAAATAAAATACTCATATATACGTCGATTATCATTAAAATAGTTGAATTTTGTATTATGTACAAAAAGATTCTTATTCATTTTTATTTCCTGTTAGATCCAATTAAAGTTTTCTAATCTTATTATCTCAGTAACATTTTATGTACCAACAAGCAATAGAGTTCATAGACTATTAAAAGTTCATATAATGAAAGATGAGGACTTCTAAGATGATATTATTGGAAAGTAACAGTAATAATAAACAGAATAACTTACTTTTGACATGATGTCTTCATTAACCTCTCTTTCTGGTTCGGCCCAGTCAACAGCTATTTGGTGACCCCACAAATGAATGTGTCCGGGAAGTAGTTTTCGTCTGGCCATTGCAGCTGCTTTATGACTACCGTACTCGATGAATGCGAATCCACGATTTTTTGTCTTATCGGTTACGCTTGGATACGATATTACATCTTTGACTCCATCTGTTACTCGTTTCATTTCAGATAATATTTCTTCTCTTGTTTTATTCTTCGGTATTCCTCCAACAAATAAACGACAGTTATCTACACTTAAGCATACTCCGATTGTTTTTCCTTTTCTAATTTCATAATTGTTAAGTTCTTGAACTGCTCGTTTAGTATCTTCTCTGTTAGTGTATACACAAAAACCAAAGCCTCGATTTATACCATTAAGTTCCATCATTAATCGAAACATATAAATTGGTCCAATTTGTTCGAATACGGGAATAAGTTCATCTTCAAAACAGTCCCTGGGAATTTTGCCAATAAATACCTCACAACCTCTTGGAGGTGCCTCACATTGCCAATTTGGTGGAGGTCCATAACGTCTCTGCCCATTCTCTTGTACGTAAGTATATTTTGTACGTTCAAGTAAACTAACTATTGCTTCTTCAGCAGAAAGAGCATTAGCATTTTGATTTTCTTGCTTTTCTAGGATATCACTCGAAGTAGACATAGCAGATTCTCTTGTTGATGTGGTAAATGTAGTTACAGTTTGTGGCGTACTTAACTGTAAACTCGTGATGTCTTTGGTTTGTAAGGTTGTCAAACTGACGGCATTTCGGTCAACATCAGATACTAGCATGGTGATAATAGTAACAAATCACAATGAATGACCACAGAATTTGTTATGTTCATTAACTGTATATGTGTCTATTTGTGCACTGTATCCAAACTATGTGCACAACTCGTTAGAAAGTTGAACTCACTATTAAGCTTTACTCGATTTTGATTGGAGACTTATCTAGAGCCTGTGACCTTGGTATCAGCTGAGTGTTATCTATAATGAACTTGCTATTTGTTATCAAATAACATTAGGTATTCAAAAATGTGTTTGTATCAAATGTTAACTTGTAAAATTTCAGATAATTCAATCCACTTAAAGTGAATGTGTAAATTTAGTTTTCTTAGTTTATTGTCACTACGTCGAATTTAATTGATAGATTATGTCATATCGGCAGTTTGTCGATTAAGTGAATAATTTAAATTGTTGAAGGTCATCCTAAAATTATTTGCAAGTTTTACACTAGTTAGATGTGTGTTTTAAGCATTTAATAAACTAATTAATTGATAAATTTATTGTTAGTTATTTTCCAAATGAAACTTGACCTTCAATAATAAATAATAATAATTTTACTAAGAAAATAACCATAAAAATACTGAGACAATTTATTAGTAATTTTTTCTCACAAATCATATATCAACCAACGGTATAATAACTCATGGTTATTCTGTAATGAATCTTTATTTCATCATTTAATTGAAACTTTCTCGGTCACATTAACTTATAATTTTAAGGTAAACTGGCTTAGTTGAGATCTATAGAATGATGTTCCATATTAGGACGAAACGGCCTTCCAGTGCTTTCAAGTTTTCCATGGTGGTCTAGCTTCAATTGACTCATGATTTCCACTATTGAAATTACTAAAAATCACCACAAAACTCCTTCTGAGAATGATGTTAATCAAATTTGAGTTGAATTATTACTTACTTACTTACACCTATTACACCCAATGTAGTATAGGCCGCCGACCAGCATTCTCCAACCCACTCCGTCCTGGGCCTTTCTTTATAGTTTTATCCAATTATTGTTCATTTTTTCTCATGTCTATCTTCATTTCTTGGCGTAATGTGTTCTTTCGTCTTCCTCTTCTCCTTTGGCTCTGAGGATTCTAAGTGGAGGCTTTCCTTGTGATGCAGTTGGCTGCTTCCCTCAATATGTGTCCTATTCACTTCTAGCGCTTCTTCCTGATTTCTTTCTTCACTGAGATCTGGTTTTTTCACTCTCACAGTAGGTTGTTGCTGTACTGTACTATACTTGTAAATCCTTTGATGTGAGGCATGACTAGATTTTGTTTAAATGTTTCAATCTCTCAGTGAATAATTGACGCGTATTTTTGTCCTTTTTAAGAGTGCTAAATACTTATTACATGCTTTTTGAATAGGCATTTTATATAAAAGATAAAATATTGAATTTTACATGGAGAAAGTTTAAATCTTCTATAGAAATCTAGTGAGTAAATATATAATCAAAATATACTGTACAGTACAACAAGTTGTTTCACTTAAAGACATTTTTCCATTTGTTTATCTTCAGGTGAATTCAACTTCTTGTGTCGAATGAAAACAGATATTAAGATCTAATGGAATATGGGGAAAACCTTGGAAGTAGTAATCAAAATGTCAATTGCTCACTGATTCTCAGTTATTCTCTAAATAATATTATTTTATAGAGAAAATTATCCTTCGAATGAATTACTTTTTTACAAAACTCTTTGCTTTGGTTGAAAACTTAAATAGATTCAAATGTATATGGGATTAAAAACTATGAGATACTATAAGTTGGTTCATTTGTTTCACAGGGGATAATTTGGATATTTGACAACAGAAATCACAAGCTGATAAGTTGCACTTGGGATCTAATCTTACATGATATATTAACAAAATTATTTTTATATCTTGAATTAAGCTTCCTATTTTATTTTCATAGTAAACACTGCATGTCTCAGTAGGCTATAATCTGTGACCTGAAACATCCTTTATCTGTTTCATTCGGATACAGATTTATCAGCAAATGTCAAGATCAACATGGTTCATTAATAGTTAATTATGACACTTATAGGATCTTAGTGTTACACGAAATAAGAAATATTAATCTACAATAATTAATAGCATTTAAATGGAACTAATCAAGTCTACTATAAAACGTACTAGTAAGTTAAGTAGAAGTAATTTCCCGTCTGTTTTGAATTGATCATATTCGCATGAAATAAATGAAAAACTCAGCCTTCAATTGAATTCTTTCATGTTTCTACTTGAACTTATGCAAGCGGAACTATCTTAGGATTGATGCAAATCTAATTATGGCTCCTAAATAACCATTAAGTGATATTTCAGCCTTTATGTTATTTATCGTTATTCTAATCCCTAACCCTTTGGACCACAGGTTCACTATACTGACATAATGATATTTTAATAAATGAAGTAAATACTAACAAAAATAGTAACCAAGTACTGATTTGTATCCTATAGTGAACATAACATTCGTAAGTTAAGGTTTAAAGGAGAGTTGAAATCAATAATTAAGTAAGTAATATAGGTATAGCATGTATTGTTGACAGTTTTCCAACAGTTTGTAATTCATCGATTTATCCAACCTTTATTCAGAAACATCCCTAGTTTCAGCTCCCTTTTTTTATTTCTGTTATTTTCGATATTATATTACTTAAAAATTTGATAATCGTGGATGAGCACAGCTAAGGAGTCCTGTACTAGGATAAAATGTCCTTCCAGTACTCCCAGGTTTTCAACGGTGGTCTAACATCATTTCAATAAAATGTAACAATCTCCACAATTATAAATTGAAAATAAAAGTTTTTGTTTGACTGATATCTTTAATGGAACAGTGTCACTTGAAAATCTATCTACTGTGTGAAAGTATAAGAAGTATAAAGATAAAAATAATTCATTATTGCACATAAAATGAGTCTTTCCACTATTAGTTATTTGATTTCTCATAGTCACAATATATTTCTGACGATGCTGGTGTCGCTACAAATGAAGGATAAGATTATAGTCTGTTTGAAACTATGGTTATCAGAGCATCAGTCAGAAATGTTCAAATTTAATGATAACTTTTTTTTTAAGATAACAGAGTTCTTCACTTTCAAAACTGTTAGTTTTACATCTTTGAACATCATAAGACTTTTCATAATGTAAAGACATGATTTTTGAACATGAGTTAACAAATACAAATCTATACCAAAGCCAATTTTTATGTCACGCACTGAAAATACGATATTTAATCTGAGATATACTAACACTTCACTAACTATTGAAATAGTTTTTTTAAATATCTTTGAATCTTCCTGTAGGAGTATTGGTCTTACAAGTTAATAATCAGTTATGAACAATAATTAGTGATGAAATCGATAGATACAAATGGAATAATTAACTTAATTAGTAGGTGTATAAAGGTGAATTGAAAGGGTAACTGATGACAGAAATATTAACCTGAAATATGAAGTATTAACTAACGATGATGAAAATTGATTCAAGTAACAGATGCAATACCGGTAGCAGAGATATCGAAGTTTTTTTCGATCACGTGATAAGAAGGACAGCAAAATTGGCCCACCAGCTTAACGAAAGTTAGAGAAATGAATGTAATGTTAAAAGAGGGATGTGAACAACATATCTTTATTGTCTGGTTTTAAGTCTCAAACAGTGTTGATAAGGATTACAATTTACACTATGCGGAATACTAGTTAAATCAAATATAGTTTCATCATATTGCCCTCATTCGATGATTCTTGTTTGTAAATTCGGATAGTGCAGTAAGATGAAGATTGTCAGGACTGATATATTAATGCAATGCATTTCGAATGATTCGATCACATATATATTGACTCATGATTTCAATCTGTGAAAATTTCTAAAAATCTCCACAAAACACATTCTGATAATAATAATCACCTGCTCACTAGTGACTGACTTCAGGAGACACTTCTGGAGTTCTAGTGAGAAGTCGTTAGCAGTGGAGTTCAACCAGGTCTGTTGTGAGATAGGAACTCACTGAAGACAATGGTGTACGGTAGCGCAACTTCGTGGATTGGTTGAAGTTAGACATTAACACCGTCGGATGCCGGCCCAGTGGTCTAATGGTTAAGTGCTCGCGCGCGAAGCCAGTAGGTCCTGGGTTCGAGCCCCGGGTGGTGCGGGTTCGTGGGTGCGCACTGCTGAGGAGTCCCGTACCAGGACGAAACGGCCGTCCAGTGCTTCCAGGTTTTCAATGGTGGTCTAGCTTCAACTGACTCATGATTTCAATCTGTGAAAACATATATATTTGTTAAGAACATTTATATATAAAAGCAAAAGGTCAAATAAACTAATAGAATGTAAGAGGAAACAGAGATAATAAAGAGAATGATGTGCAAGGCAATGTGAAACTCAACACGCAGGATAATCAAATATTACCAAAGTAGGCTTAGGGTGAGAACAAGCTGTCTTTGAATACACGAGGAGGTTTTGAATTTTCATATGGCTGAGGCTTCAATAAACTTTGGTATATGCTCTGAGTTAAGATCAATCTAATGCCCCATTTCAACATTTTTTGGCACTAGAACTCCTCTTGGAGCCCCTCTGGGGCTACTGCCGGTCCCAAGCCCGGATATCGGAGGAGGGTTGGGTATGGGGTTAGCGTCCCCATCCCGTAGAAAACTAACTCGCTAAAAAAACGCTAACCAGAAAAAATTATTCATGCCATCTAAACTCTACCCTATGAGTTAAAAGGTCTTCATTTAAAAGAGTTATGACGCCTCATGATGAAAACCGAGTTCCTTCGGAAGTCACAGGTCCGATGCCTCTTCTGACAACCAGAGAAATCATTAGTTTAGGTACATGGAATACTCGTACAACAATGTGGGAGGCCGGGAGAGTCTTCCAAATTGCTGCTCTTTGACACTAGAGGACGATGGATATTTATCATCTACTCTTATTGGATCATTTTATTTCATTTGTTTTCTCAAGCATTCAGGTACATGTTCAGAAACCCTAATTTGTAGATCAAGATTCCTCCCCCTTATGTATGTGTGACAACACACATAATGGGATGTGACACACCAATTTGCATGCCTTTTTGATGAAGCGGGGAACTTGTTTTCTCCCTGATAATGACCTTCTCTGGGTAGTACACTTTACAAATAACTGACATGAGTCTTTGTTTCAACATAAGGCTATTTGACTCACCTCTGAACAGTAGAGTAATATAAACAGGCTTTTTCTGTGCCAAAGATGTAATGGGCCTCACTACACTTTGACCCTTTTATT